TTTGTTATATCGAACAGATGAGCAAGATTTTCTTCAAATACTGCATTTGGTCGCTTTCTGTGTTTCTCAAATGATGTGATAAGTTTGTAAACATTAGCAGGCACTTGTTGTTTGGAAAGAACAGGAAAATTAAACTTCTGCCAAAGATTCATCAATTCCTCGGATATTTTTGTTAGTCGATCATGTCGTCCTTTTAATTCATTAAAGAGTCCCAAGAATCTTCCAACGATATCTCTGTTGGAAGGCATTTTACACAGTTCGTTGCTCATATCCTGTCTTACCTGTGGTATATTAGGACGACGCTTCGTGCTTGATTTCAAATTTTGTGTCCATATTTCACAAGCTGCTTCCACTGCTGATTTTGACTCTTTACTTTTAAAGGACATATTTTTAAAAAGAAGCACTAAACAGCAGATCTTGCAAATTAATACTGCAAATAATGAAAAAACTTTTTAAATACTTCTACTCAATATTTTAATCGCGCGAACATTAAAAAATACTCAACAACAAACAACAACAAACGCGCATTGATTTGAAAAACAGTCGTTAAAATTTGTTATTTAAAATTGAGTTACATAACATAAAAACAATTTAAAACTATCGAACTTTTTCATTCTATGTTAATTAACTTTTTAAACTGTTTGACGCTCTCCAACTTGTAGTTATATTCAAGCATAGTCAAGCATAGTCAAGCATAAGGAAGTAAGAACTGGGAACAAAATCAAGTGAAAAATCGAAAAAGTTAAAAGTGGTGAGGTGCTAGGTGCGGGAGATTTCTTTGTGATCCAATGAATTAAACCTTAAAACAGTGATCTATTGGTAAAAGTTCATCAAATGCAACATCAGGAAAATAAAAATTTTGAAAAAAGTTTTTTTGTCATATACCTAGAGTAGGGATTGCAATCCCGCACACTTTTTGATCACGCAGGATACGCGCGGATTTTTTAATTTATGTGCGGATCCCGCGGGATCCCGCCCGGGATTGGTAGATTTCTTATGCACTTTATAAAAGGCAAAATGATAATTGTATTTTTCTTTTAAGTATTTCAGCAAAAAATATACTCAACTTATTAAATTGATAAGATGAGATAAATGAAGTCAAAAACACAATTCATTTATGAATCAATATAATTCTTAACTTTTAATCAACAAAATATAAGATAAAAATACGTAAAACGTATTTTAGCTTTACGTAGAGCATTTTAGCTTTACTCTTTTTTTTTAGATATCAAATATAAGAAAATCATTGTAAGAAATGCGCTCTTAAGAAACAGACCCTACTTAAAGTATCTTAATTTACATAATTTACTCATCAAAGAACTGAATATATAGCCAGCAGCTGAAAAAGCTCGCTCAGCCTCTACTCTTGTTGGTGATATGGTCATCAAGTAATTATAAGCTATATCTAGAAAATTTTTTCTTACTTCGTTACTTTCATAGCCAGGCATTTCCTGCTTCAATAATTTATCAAATTCTAAAGAATCTAAATTTGGTATCTCCTTTACATTTTCTGTCCAGTTTTTCTTGTCTTTCTGTATATGATTTTCCAAATCTTTTTTCAGCGATAGAATTGTAGGAGTAAGTATTTGGGAATTGTTAATAGAATCTACAGATTCTTTTTCTTCGAGTTCATTTTCTTCATCTTTAATTCTTTTAATTGTATAAACTCTTATCAATATTTTTTTTATTTCTTGAAACATAACGGTTCTCTTTGGCATTGAATAAGTATTTTCATTTTTTTATATTCTTATTCATATTTTTTAAGATTTTGTAAGTAAACCAGTAGTCCATTTAAGTTCTTATTACGACGTTATGTAAACCTCTCACGGAGTGCTGCAGTTAAATCAATGTTCAAAAGTGATGATTGCTTTTGTAATTTATCTAACATAAATTAAAAAGTTGTTTCCACAGAAACAAGGTTTAATTCTCTCATGCATAATAGTTCAAGACCAAGTTTTAGTGGTGCCAGGAAAATAAATTAGTCATTGATTTGGGACCATTCTTCTTGGGTGAAACAAATTTCTGACCCAACATCAATAAGGCAACATCAAGTTTTACAATCAAGAATCAACTTAAGCTTTTTACCGTGCTTATGTAGGATATACTTCTGTAAACATGTATTATTTTTGACTGGAGAGTTTTTAAATATTTTCATAACTCACTTTTTTCATGAGATATTTTTAATTGCTAACCAATTCAGCAGAAGGTCGGTCCAAACTTATTGTCAAACCATATTCTTTATTTATAACTTCATCATCATCAGTGTTCTCATGTTCATCTTTTTCTTCGCAATTTTCATTTGTAGTAAACGATTCTTCGACTTCTCCGATGTTTTTCTTGTAAAAGATATTAATAACTGCAAGTTGTATTCCATGAGCATAGCATAGTTGATGATAGCAAGACATCATTTTACCGACTTTCACCATTGCACCTGCTCCATCAGTGGTCATGTCGATAATTTCTTTTTGGAGATCGATATTGAAGCTATTTAGCCTTCCTGCAACTAACTTGACGCAATATTCTGCATTACACGATCCATTGATTTGAATCAATCCAAGATTAAAGTATTTTGCCTCCATATGTACATTTAAGTTAAGGTATCTCTAACTATTTTGTGATGTCCGTTCGTCAAACGTTATTGAAAGTTTTGATTTTGCTTTTTTAGTGATATAAATTTTTGCTTTATATCTGCTTTAACAGAATCTGAGAATTTTACTACCATTGATCTTATAGTATTAGGTGAAGTAGGTAGCCGGAAACCACTCTTTGAAAAAAAAATACCGCAAATCTGAAGATGTGCAAAAACTATGAAATGTAAAGCCATCTTTAGCAACCGTGCGTGATACTATTTTTTCCATAGAAATTTCTTTAACGAAAAACGTGTCTATTGTTCTGACCTTTTTCGATAGAATTACTTCTTCGTCTTCGCAGTCGATGTATATTTTAGACTCTAGTTCAACTGATTCATGCTGTTTTGAAGTTGAAGCTCCGTCTTGTTGTAAAACGTTTGATTTTAAATCGGTGCCATGTTTAGTTTTTAAATGGATTATTAACCCTTTTGTTGATCTTTGACTAATTTTTAAAATAGTCAAACATAACATGCACTTCGCATTTTCTTCTTTATCACTTTTTTTAAATTATTCTATATAGTTTTAATTTGCGACATGCTTAGTAGGTACTTTTGTTTTAAAATCTTGATGTAAATAATTTTTGAAGTCTTTTTAAAAAGTAGTGCGCTATACTTTTTATTATTACGCACTTACGTTTTTAATTTCACGTTTTTAACATACTCATCAACAAAAATGCCAACATACTCATTAGCAAAAATTCCAACATAATCATTAACAAAACAAAACAAAATTTGATTGTACACTTTATGACTAGTAAAATTTTAAATGGATTTGTTACGCAAATACATTAAATACTTTAATTTGATATCTTTTTCGTCTTGTTTGTTTAAAGAATTGCTTTTTGTTTTTTTATTTAAAAGTAATAATTTCAAAACTCAGCAATACCGCAAATCCCGCGGATCTTGCAGTAGTTTTTGCGGGATCTCGCATGCACTAAAATAATGTGGGATCCTGCGGGATTTAGGGATACCGTAATGCGGGATTGCAATCCCTACTTCTGTGTCCCTCTTATGTCTAGTATTGTAATGACGTTCTGCACACAATATTGCTTGGAATCTACCAAAGTCTCGCAATGGATCTTAAAACCAAATCAGAGGATATTGGTGATACGCTTACTTTTTGTTGTGCTGTAATATTTTTAAAGTTCTTTACAATTGGGATCTGGGAGTTGTCAGACAGTTTAAATATTCTCATGTTATTTTCTACCATGAAATTCTTGATTTTTTTGGATATATAGCATGTAGCTAAATCCTGCTATTGTGTTTCATTTCCATGAATACACTTTCAGCATTTAAAAATTGTGCTTGTAGAACTTTAATGTTAGTTTCCTTATTAGTTAATTATGCCAAAAACATGGTAAAGTGTCCCTTACCAAGAGCAGAGAAACAATCCTAAAACATCTCATTTTTAAGGTTCTTGATATGCTTTTCCGTGTTGCATAAACCCACCAGCAAAACAATAAACAAACTGTGACCGCTGTAACCGCTGTGACCCTGCGCATTAAAATGTAACTCATCAGAAAATAAAACCTGCAATCAATAGGTTAACAGTTATCAAGTGTTTCCCATTCAAATTTTAATTTTCAATTATGGTATGATTTTATAAGTATAATCGTGGAAGTATAACAGATGGAAGTTCATCGAGCCGCAAACATCAAAGCAATTTCAAGTCGTCTCGGGAGTTTCCTTGTAACCCACAATAAAAAAAAAAAAAAAATTTCACTGAACAAAAAAAAAAAAAAAATTCACTAAAATAATTTTTATTAAAACATCAAAAAATGAATTATTCTAGGGGTATGCGTCAAAGTTTTAACCATTAGTAATTGCAATTATTCAGGAAAAGGTTTATTAAAACTCGGTAATTGAATAGAACCACTTGATTTTAAAAGCATATGTTAGTTTAAGCTAACTTCAACTCATAACACGACATTTGATTAAAGAGAAAACTAAAAAAATTTTTAAAAAATCAAAAAAATTGTTTTCTAAATAACTTAAGTTTAAAGTTTCATTAGCTGTATTTCATAATTCCATTTATTCTTGTAGTACTCCATTCATTTAATATCAAGTTTATAAAAAAGTTGTTGTTTGCCGTTACGTTGCGCCATTTTTAATGTTTTTCTTGATTATTATTGGCAAACCTTCAAAATACTATATTTTTAAATTATTATAAACGTACCTTTTTGCGTCAACGTATAAAGATTAAACGTTTAAGTGTAGTCTTAATGTCGTTTTCTTATTGTTTACGAAACAAAAGGTTACAAGCATAGTCCCAAGAATTTCAATGCGGTTGAACTTCCATCTGTTTTATACTTCCATGGTATAATTAACTGTATAGGTTTACATGACATATATGTCATGTGAAGCAAAATCATTTATTAGTGGGTCACTTGCCTTGAGATTTATATAACTCTTATCAGATGATACCATCTTGCATCAAATCTCGATCATCTTTCTGTGAAGTCTTTTGTTTTCAACTACATTTTTCTTTTAAATGGTGATATGCTGCCAGTTGTAATGTAATGCTGAACACTTAATGGCTATTTCTCTTTAAGATTCATCAGAATATTGAAACGAAGGTAGTATTTTAGATATTTTTTTTTTCGGTATAGTATCCATTTTTTTTTTTTATTATTGTTTATTAATATATATATAATATATATTAATATAAATTATAGAAATATAGAATAAATCAACAAATAAATCAACAAATAAATGTAAACCAATGTATCAACAAATAAAAGGAAAATGTTTTATGCAAATAGTTTTCACATACTGCAATGTGAAAATTGTAGTAATGTGAAAATTGTGGTTGAAAAGTGGTTGATGTACAGGAGTAACAACCACTCTTCACTTATACTATCAATTTTAAGAATTTATTTGTTTAGGTTTAAAGTTATCAGAAATACCAAAACTAAAATGCCAAAGTTCCGATTGCTTTGTTTGTGTTAAAAAACAGCATAATTTTTCTGAAGTGAAAACAGGATATAGCTATTATCGACAACCCGGAATCCTTTTTGATGAATACAATAAACTTAAAGTATGTATATCCGGATTAAACATTGAAGATTTACCCAAGCCGATTCTTAGCTTTGAGTTTATAAAGGAGCTACCTCCTTCCATATTTGATGTTCAATTTTACAAAAAACCAACACCTGTTCAAAAAAGTGCAATACCACTTATGATGGAAGGATTAGATCTTGTTGTTTGCGCACAAACAGGCTCAGGAAAAACGGTAATGAAGTTTGTTGAAGTTAAATATTTTTTAGAAATCTAAGTTTTAACTTTAACCTTTATAAAATTTTTTAAAATTGATTGATAAAAAGTTAAAACTTAAACAAAATAATTAGAAAAAGTTCAAATAAAAGTAAATTTTTATTTCATTTCAAGCTTTTTTTTGCCACATTCACACACTTATAATGCAACCTTTAAGTGTCACATCGACATACTTACATACCACGTTTACATATTCCCACTCACACAATCAAATTTTATCTTAAATTGTTTTCATAACTTTTAAACATTTATAACTTTAGTAATTGTTTATATTAACTTATAATAAGTATTATGTTTATTTACTACTTTATATATAAGAGAGAAGTTTTATATAAGTGATTTTCCTTCTTTTGAATAAGTTGCTTTCACCATGGCGAAGTACAGGAAATTAATACTATTATCAGCAACAATAATGTTCCACACCGACCATTTCTATACTTATTTTACTTATGTTTGGTCTTTTTACTTATAATAACCTTTTGCAAACGGTAGAAAAATAATTCATTTCAAAATTGGCTTCGGGTTAACGATGAATATTTTATACTTTAACATTTCTTTTCGTTAAATTCAAATAATAAACGGGGCAGAACAGATACATATTAGTTTTTTTCTTATTTCCGCAAACTTAGAGTCCTCACACTGTTTACTTATTTAAAAAGAAAAAGTTTGAAATTAGCAAGAAGTAGGAATATGTCTGCTTTAGAATAAAAAGTTGTCTATAAACTGTATTAGATTCCCAGATTTACCTAATTAAGGTTTACCTAATTAAGATTTACCTAATTAAGATTTACCTAATTAAGATTTATCTAATTAATTATCTAAACGCATTAATAAAATAAGCATTGACCTCTAATATATGATTTACGATTCCTTAATTTATTTTCGATTAAAAAAGGATTAAAGTTTTGCCCTTTTTACAAATGGCAGACTATTGTTATAAACAAAAAAAGCGGCTTCATTTTTTGTCTAATAAAATCCCGCAAGTTAGAAGTCTAGTTTATATAATATATCATTGTATAATAATGAAATTAGTGAGTGTCCTATTGAGTGTATTTCACACTTGCCCTGAAGGGGTTTGCTTGCAGCCTCACTTCAAATCCTATCACTGCCACCTTTTTTGTTTGAATCGTTTTTGATTTTTCTAAATTATAAAATAAAACACTTTTGAAGTTTTACAAATATTTTATACATAACATATATAATGATATTGTATACTATAAGAAACGAAAGGAGAGAAATTTTTAAAAAGCTTAAAATTCCAAAATAGTAGAGATACTTATGTTGTTAATGTGCTCAGGTAGTATGAGTATCTCATACTATGAGTATCTCATAGTAGAGATACTCATAGTAGAGATAATTATGTTGTTAATATGCTGAGGTAACTAGTCCTATTAAACTACGAATTGTAGGAAAAATTATTATCTGAAACCTAATAAAGAAAAAATTAATGAAACTTAATGAAAAAAATATTAATGACAAAAAAGAAAAGGAAAAAGACAGTTCTGCTACTCCAGTGCTGTGGAGGCGAAAAAAAATTAGAAAACACAATCAACAACTCGATTCTTTCAAAAAGTGGAATAAATAAGTTTAGAAATGGATGGTCTGGTGAAGACCCGTATTTTACTGGTCCAAAAAGCTAGGTTATATATATAAGGAAAAAGTGTAGAAAAGGTCGGCGTGGGATAGACTTTCAAAGACCCATATTTTTACCAATCTGGTCAACTAGTACCTTATAACAAATATAATTTCATTTATGTTGTTTTTTCATTTTTTCAGTTATTTTTTCTAATTCAGTAATCATGAATATTTGGACCAAGAATATGCAAAATAAAAGAATTTATTAGTTTTTTTTGGATTAACTGCAAAAAAAATTTATTTATTTTTTGATAAACAAAATATTTTTAGATAGTCGTTTGATGTTTTAAAAATTCTTGCTTTGTTTTAAGATTTAAAGTCTTTGTCGTGTAAAGTATATATTCTAAAAAAAATTGATATATAAATAAAATATTAACCTTATTTCTAATTAAATAAAAACATAAATGGAAAATATAGCTATTTCATAAAATTAGCAGAATATAATCATGCTTCAATAACTTCAAATGCATCAACTTCAATAGTTGAGAACTTTTAATGCACCAACATAAATATTTCTAAATCAAATTTAGGAATATTAATGTCAATGCTTTTGGAAATCACCTTTCAACTATATTTCTAATCAATTACTGTATAATTATTTGGGGTTGTACCCAGCCCGGCCCAAAAACATAAAACCCGGCCAGGATAAAAGAAGTTTTTTTTAAATATATATAAAAACAAACTAATGTAATTCTTATACGAAGTTTACGAGTAATAAAAATATTTGTTATTTGAAATTTTTTTTTACAAAAATAAATAAAGTTTTAAACAACATAAACCAGTAACATAGCATTTATTGTTCAAATGCATTGGCTACATGAAAGTGTCGTGTGAAAAGACAGCCGCTGTGCACAAACATTATGACACTAACAATTGCACTGACCGCATTGTGACCATTTTAAACAAGCACCATGAGTTTTAACTCAAAAGGGAATGTCGCATATATCTTTATGGGTGGACCGGGCTGGGTTTATTATCTTTAAGGTTTTAAGGTCCGGGTTGGTTATCTTTATGCTTTATGGTTGGGCCGGGCCGGGTTTTAGGTTTTTGGGCCGTGCCCGGTTGGGTTTTAGGCATAACTATTAATTGGTTGTACATCACTAACCATTGAAATAAAAATAACAATTTTTTTACTAACCTCTGGAAACAAGGAAGCAAGCAAAAATATTGCGAAGAATATAAATGCAGATTTTTATCCATTTCTCTTCAAATATAACTCATCTTTAACACCCACATTTATAAAAAAAAGTTTCAAGTAAACACCTGCTTTTTTTTTCAAACATTTAAAGTTAATTACCTTTTTTATTTAATACAATGTATTTAATTTTAAGTCTTAACTACCTAATAAATATATAATATAAGACAGCCGATAAAAAAAAGCAAAGTATGATTTTTTTTGTTTATAACAATAGTCCGCCATTTGTAAAAAGGGCAAAAAAAAGTGAGGATGAAACAAAAAAATTTGCAGCATGTAAACTTAATATAAAAGTTTAAAAATCAATTAAATGTTTAAATTATTTAAATTTGTTTACAATTGCTGAACAGTACACAAGTATGTAATCAACAAAAAATAAGAAAAATACTTGGCTGCAATGGATTGCTGTGTCTTAAAAACTGTAAAGTCTTATTCTTATTATTTGGTTTGTCACAAGTGGAAAAGGTTTGGATTAACTCTACACCATAAAGGGAATTATGAAGTAAGATTAATATTATGAAGTTTTGGAACATCCATTGTATACTCAGTAGACGTCATATACACAGACTTTGCAAAGGTGTTTGAAAAAGTGCCGCATAAACGCCTTTATCATAAACTAAGAGCCTACGGTATTGAGTGGTCATCAACGGCATCACATCTGAATGGCAAGCGGTCACTAGCGGTGTGCTTCAAGGCTTGGTCTTGGGCCCATTGTTCTTCGTAATCTTCATTTATGACTTGCCGGACAGCATCAGTCATCATATGACACTATGTTAACGACACTATAATTATTGGCATAAGTAAAAACGAGTTGGGCTGCATCACTCTTTAAGTTACCATTGACAGAGCAGTAGAATGGTCACATATTTGCCTCGTGCATTTCAACATTGAGAAATGCAAAGTCAACGCGTTATTACTCAATGGCCAACGTTGACGGCACGCGTTATCCACTCGAAAAGACTGTGGTAAAACGAAACCTTGGTGTGATGACCTTAACGTTAGACCGCAAATAGAGTCAGTCGCATCAATTGTAAATAGAATGCTAGGGCGAAAAATACATTTTGGAGTCGCAGTTTTTATTTATGACGTACATTGTATCTTATTTACATTTGCCCCCACCTTGAGTTTGCTGTACAAGCCTTGTCACCGCATTTAAAGGCCAACATTGCTAATCGAGTGTATTTTCAAAATGCGGTATATCCATTTTTGTGGTATTGAGATAATTGACTTTTTTCGCCCACCAACATGTCTCGTATATTTGGAAAAATTATTGTTTCTTAATGTATATATGCATAAAGTATATTATATAATGTTAATAAATAAAATATTATTAGATAAATTTTTTTTTTTTTTTTTGTCAATAAGTTTGTATTTATTTTCAAAATACTGTATATCCAATTAAAGCTTGTTAGCAAAATGCGGTATATCCATTTTATAAAGATGTTATGGAAAGTTTTTAAACTTTAAAAGACCTGAATAAGTTTTAATGATTAATTTTAGTTAACATATTGAACAAATATGTGTATTTAATGTTTGGTCATTATATTTTATTGATAATGTGAATGTAAACAATGTTTTATTAAAGTAATGTAAACTATTACATTTCACAATTCGCAATTGTAAATTTATATTTGTTTCGGAGAGTTAAATATGGACAATAAACAATAATATTTTTTTAGTGTTGTGTAGTTGTAACAATGATGATCACTATTTTTAAGTCTCCATAGAACTAATGGACAATTAATATAACATAAAAGTCATCGTTATATTTTTGAACGAAATAAAATTTTAAAAATGAAATACTGCAACAGCCTCATTTTATTTGCAACAAAGCAATTGTCGGTTTAACAAAAAATAAAAAGGAAGTATTATTATTGAATGCTTTCCATTAAAAAACAGGTAACAAATATATTTAAACTTATTAATTTAAGTTGCCTTTTTAATATATTTTCTATCATTATTCCATAATTCCTTCAGTTAAACAAACAAAGCATGGTAGTTTAAACGAACACTAGAATTAAGAAATGCTTTTCTTTTGTTTCATACATCATATCTTTTTTTCTATGTGAAATAGGATATTAGGTAACGCACCAACCTTGTCCACCGCAATCCGCCATTTCTTTAACGCAACTTTAAAATATTTGCGCTTGCGCAGAAGTAATATACATTTGCCACGGATTGGTCAAAATTAAATACCGCATTTTGAAAATAAATAAAAAATTTTATACCGCGTTTTGAAAATAAATGTTTTTTAGAAGTAAAAAAATATTGGGTTATACTTCGTTTAGCATATATTCGGACACAATGTCTGCTAGGTCCTTATAAACTAAAAATAAACCACACAACTTCTAAAAAATTTTTAAAATGGCGTTTACCGCGTTTTGAAAATAAACTCTTCATATATAAACTAAATAACACCCTGCTTTTTCATACTAAAGCTTTTAATAACTACAGTCTAAAGAATGAAATAAACAAATTTATAAAGTGTAAAACATCTTAATAAAGTTACAAAAAAATAAGTTAAAAAAGAAAGCATCCTCTTAAATTTATACAATTTAATGCAAAAATTTTAAAAAATTTCATACTTATTTCCTGAGGAAGTTTACTTTCATAAAAACATCTATAAAACTTTTTCACTGTATTTATGTTGTTAATAATGCTTTTAATATATTTTTTTAATATTTATAATATTTAAATGATGTTAACAATAAGTAAAATAAACAGTAATATGGAATAAACTTATTAATAAATACTTCTGTATTCATTTTATCAATCAACTATGACTGGTTATAAATTAAAAAAGTAAAAGAGGTAAGAAATGTTAAAGATTTTGAACTATATGTTAATACTTATGTATAATCTACTAATAATTACAGGCAGCTTTTTTAATTCCAATTGTTGCAAAAGTTTTATCAAAACCGACAACTGAAAAACCTTATGCTCTTATACTTACTCCAACACGGGAACTTGCAATTCAAATACATCGAGATGCTGTGCAATTGACAAAAGAAACTCACATAAAATGCTGTTGCGCCTATGGTGGCAAACATGTTCGTGAAAATATCAATGATATTCGTGCTGGGTGTGATCTGTTAATTGCAACTCCTGGTAGAATACTACATCTTTGTAGATCTATAAAAGTATGATTTTTTTTTAAGTTCTCTTATATTTCATTTTACTTTAATAATAATACTTTTATTAATAGAAAAGCTGTGAAGAAGTTTTCGTTTTTTAATTAGTTTATATTAAAAATTTTATTTAAGTTTAAAGGATATTTTTTTTTAGTTTTTATGTGAAGAGCTAATGGTGAAAATGTTTTGTGAATGAATGCAAATAACTTATTATAGTAAATTAATATTGAGTGTATCCATGTGAAACTAACTCCTCCATATTATTAGTAAGATCTTTAGCTCTTCCAAATTTGACATTCTTCTTTAGGCTTGGACAGGAATGGCATGCAATTGAGCGCTTATCCTGAGCACGCAAGTTATTATATTTTTAAAATACCTGACCACAATTGTTTATATGTTTAAAAAAAAGCCTGACAAAAAAAGAAACGAAAAATTCTTAACGAGAAATATAAGCACTAAAATAAAATAAAAAAATAAAAACTAAAACTCAAGGTGAAACTTGCGGTAGTAGTGTAGTGGTAGAGCGCTCGCTTCATAAACGAGTGGTTCCGAGTTCGATCCCCACCACGTCCCTGGTAGTACCGCGCTCAACTCGTTTCTCCGCGCAGCGGCCTTGTTTGTCAAGGTTCGTGTTTCGGAGTTATAGAGTTGAGAGAGGGTTATAGCCATAAAATAAGTAGCCTCCTCGTTTGTAGTGGCCTTCTCGGCCTTGAGGAGGTGAAGTAAAATAAATAAAAAAAAAAAAAAAACCTTTTGTTACGCTTTTAATTACGTTTGAAATGTTATGTTATAAAACTTATCTTTTTAAACGTTTTATTTAAGTTATGCGAAACGCTTTTAAATTAAGTAACACATTACTACTAATGATTGTTTAATAAATGAACAAATTTTATCAAATTTATTAAAAGGTGTTGTATATAATATTTTTTAAATGTATAAACATTTTTTTTTTTTTTTAAAGTTGCAAAAAAAAAAAAAATTGTTTAAAAAAATAACGCAGTCTTTTTAAAATACTAATTTTTAATAACTTTATGCTCTAATTTGTAAGTCAAGTTAAAAAAAAAGGTTTTCAACTTTTTTATTTGTAAAAGTACGAAAAAATAATTAAATAAGATGCATCTGCAATTTAAATAAAATAAACTGCCAACAAGCACTTTAATTTAATTTTAATTTGAGCATTACAACTTAAGTAACAAAGTACTACTGACGATTGAATAATAAGTTATATAAAATAACATAAATTTTATAACATAACATTTATTTCAAACGTAATTAAAAGCATAACAAAAAGTTTTGCTTCAAGTTTAAGTTTTTATTTTTTATTTTTATTTTAGTGCTTATATATAATAATGAAATATTTTTTGTACTATGATATATATATTTAACTAGACTTATATTTATCGATAATTTTTAAATTTCATAGTAAAATATTTTAATTCTAAAACTATGAGCATTTAAAGATTTTTGAGAGGGTTTCATATTTTATATGGTCATATTTTTTGAACATTATCATATTTTATTATGTAATTTAAAATTTATTAATGAATATAAGTCTAGTTGAAAATAGTGCAAAAAATATTTCATTAACTTGTTACTCTCACGTTTATGGCAAGGGGTGGAGGGGGGGGGGACTAAGATTTTAGGTTTTGTTCCCAATCTCCTATCACAGTAATTTGGAGAATTTTTTCCTCAAACATATGAGTTTAAAAAAATTTGGAATATACTTTTTGTTTAAAAATTGGTTATTTCAAACATTTAAAAACCTTCCTACGCCTCTGCCTGCATAAAAAGTATTTATAATATTTTTTATTAATTTCCACATGCGTTTATATAAACAGTCATTATAACTAATTTTATGATTTTATTTAAAGCTTTCATGTAAAATAAAGGATAAACAATTAAAAGTTATTCTTAACATAACACTTTTTTTATTGCATTTATATTGTTAAAACATCAAAATAGCCGTTGTCAAGTTGTAAAGAAAAAAAAAATCTTAGCATGGCCATATACAGGTGCGATCGCATGTCATTCCTGTCCAAGTCTGCTTCTTTCAGTATTTTAAACTGACACCTTAACGTTGGTTTGGGGGTATTATATTGTCTATGAGCTTTCTTGAACCCAATAACTCCCTCCAATAATTTGGTTAAAGCTTCGTCATTATTTTTTGTAATTTTCTTGCATAAACACAGCATTAAAATTAAGAAGTTTTTCTTTTCTCAACTCAGTGAGAACCTGTGTCTTATTAATTGTACTAACAATTTATATCAATTTGTAAATTTTAAAAATAAATAACAAAACCCGCATAAACATACTACAATTACACTTAAACAGTTTAAAAATATTTACCATAATTATAAATTAAACACTTATTTTACAATCTTAAGTTACAATCTATTTGAATATTCTTCAAAATTCATAATTCTATTTGTAGGGAAAAAATAAAAATAGTAGCTTTGTTTAAACTTTTTAGCATATCTTAAGGCTGTTCTGTTTGTGTTTTTTATTCAGAAAAAAAGTTTGAATTAATAGCTTTAGCTATCCTATATTTTAAAATGGTGAGATGGACATGTGCTTCTTATATGTATTTTAATAACTTCATTTCGTCTTCCACGTGCTATTCAGAGCAAATACAAAAAAAGCCAAGGAAAATTATAAAAACAGTTATAAAATTATAAAAACAATTATAAAATTTTAAAAACAATTATAAAATTATAAAAACAATTATAAAATTATAAAAACAATTATAAAATTATAAAAACAGTTATAAAATTATAAAAACCCTAGTGACATAAAAAGTCGTTTAAAAGTTGCAGAACAAAAAATTCAAAATAGCAACTGAAATTTTAAATATTTTCAACAAAAGTAATCCTCTTAAAATAGATATCATTCTGTCGAATGACAAAAAATTAAGAGACGCAAAAAATCAAATTGAGCTGCTTCAAGCACAAAATAAAATCTACAATACACATAAAAATAATTACAAATATTCTAAATTACTTGACCAGCCAACTATTTTTAAGTACTTATGTGGACTCTCAGTTGAACAGTTTAGTTTACTTTTAAATTATGTTGAACCATATACTTACTCATTTAATTCCATATCCTGACTACAAGAATAACACTAATCGAAGATCGATCGATTTACCAACTAAACTGTTCTTACAACTGTTTTAACTGTTCAATCAAGCAATTTAAATATTATTATAAAATACTAAAATCAAATTCATTAACAAAACAAATAAAAGGTGCTTTTTTAGAGATTGCTTTAATAACTGCTCGCAATGGTTTCGTGGTAAAAAAATCTGGAATTTGACCAATCATAGCTTTTGAAAAAATTATTTAACTCTTTGATTTCCATATGATTCCGTTTTAATATCGTATCATTGTGGTAGATAGAATCTATGACCTCTTTGATAATTTGCATTACTGTGTAATTACAACTAACTAGAAAAAAACTTGAGGATTCTGTTTCAGGTTGATAACTTTAAAACACAATATTTTGCATCTGTGCATAGCATTTGAAGTTAACATTGAATATAATATTGTGGATAATTACTAAGAGATGTTAAAGGCCCATCGGTAAACTGTGCAAGAGTTTTTAATTTTAATAAAAGCCCGCAAGAACCTAAACCATCAGGGCTGCAACCATATATTTTATCAAAAGGGTTATTAAAGAATCCACATTTTTCAATCCTGCATTTACTAATTTTTTCTAAGTTTTTTATTGCTATGTTTTCATATATGATTATTTGAATATTTTTTATATGGCTCATATCAGGAGTGTTAGTACCATTTTTGACATCCTAAATCAATGAATATTTTATATTTCTATGTAGCTCTAGTAATGCCGGTGGTCGAATTGCAGCAATTTTAAACTTTCTGCACTCATACTATTTATTGGACCTTTACATCCATATAACTACTACCATTAGGCTTAGGTGAATTCAAAAATCTATTTTATTATTTTTAATATTATTTTTCAGTTGTTCATTTATTTCATTATGTAGTGTTATGTTTTTGCAATTTTGATATACTAGATTTGTTGTTTCAACTTATATTTTCAAAACATTCTAATTTATTATAAGATTTATAAAAGAATCATTTTGGTGTATATTTACACTTGTACTGCTATTATTTTTAATTAAAGAGTCATTATCTACGTAATATTTTATTTGCTTTAGTTTTTCTTCGTCTACTCTTATTAGACTTTCATCAAACAGTTGTGATTTGCAATATCGATGATCAGCTAATGGTAAAGCTGTTTTTAATGTATATTTGTAATCCAAATGTTGTCCAATAAAATGTCCCAAATGTCGAGTTAATTAAAACAGAATAAATGTGTTTTTCAATCGGTTTTTTGTTTTATTTTTTTTACAATCAAAGTTAAATCTCTTTTTATAATTGTTTGAGTTTGGATCAGCAAGAGATATTTTTAATTTTTTTAATTTGGCTGATTTTGGTCTTACGTTTTTAAGAGGAACCATAGGTATAGATTCTTTTGAAGAGGGTTTGTACCACTTTTGTTGTTGTTGTGTGCACGATAATTCTAAATATAATAAAAGAGCTAGAATATGACAGCACAATCCACTAGAGCCTATCAGACAACTACAATATGCTCGTAGGAGTTATGTTTTCAAATAACAAAACAGCAGGCCGTTATCAGTGCCATTATCAGGCCGTATCAGTGCCATTATCAGGCTGTATCAGTGCCATTGGACATTTTAATTATTCCTTGGACATATATTACATTATTATCCTGTAATGGTTTCACTGAAACAATTTTCCTGCTCTGTAGCATTCTTACAGCTTTATTATTACAGCTTATATATTACTTATACTAAAAAATACTACAAAATTATATTATATTATATTACTTATTATTTTTATTGTATTATTATATTACTTATTATTAATAAGTAGATTTCACATTTAATATAAAAAAAAAATTACTTTTGAAAATTCATTTTTTCACTTCTCAATCAATCTATATTTTTTGACATAATACGACT